CCCACAATGTATCTGTACCCGCACATCTCACACCATCATGTATCTGTACCCTCCCACCCCTCACCACAATGTATCTGTACCCACCCCACCCCTCACCATCATGCATCTGTACCCATCCAAACCCTCACCATCATGCATCTGTACCCATCCCACACCTCACCACCATGTATCTGTACCCGCCCACAGCTCACCACCATGTATCTGTACCCGCCCACCCCTCACCACCATGTATCTGTACCCACCCACCCCTCACCACCATGTATCTGTACCCGCCCACCCATCACCACCATGTATCTGTACCCGCCCACGCCTCACCACCATGTATCTGTACCCACCCACCCCTCACCGCCATGTATCTGTACCCGCCCACATCACACCACCATGTATCTGTACCCACCCACCCCTCACCACCATGTATCTGTACCCACCCACCCCTCACCACCATGTATCTGTACCCGCCCACCCCTCACCACCATGTATCTGTACCCACCCACCCCTCACCACCATGTATCTGTACCCGCCCACCCCTCACCACCATGTATCTGTACCCGCCCCACCCCTCACCACCATGTATCTGTACCCGCCCACCCCTCACCACCATGTATCTGTACCCGCCCCACCCCTCACCACCATGTATCTGTACCCGCCCACCCCTCACCACCATGTATCCCTCACCACCATGTATCTGTACCCGTACACCCCTCACCACATGTATCTGTACCCACCCACCCACCCACCCCTCACCAGCATGTATCTGTACCTACCCCTACCTCACCATCATGTATCTGTATCCGCCCATCCCTCACCACCATGTCTCTGTACCCGCACACCCCTCACCAACATGTATCTGTACCCACCCACCCACCCCTCACGTGGCTGATGTCTATTTTTCCGGTGTGCCTTAACTCTACTTCCGGTGTGTCTGATGTACGCGTCCGTTGTGTCCACTTCCAGTGTGCCTGAAGTCTACTTCAACCGGTGCCTGAAGTCCATTTCCGTGGTTTCCACTTCCGGTGCACCTAAGCACCACTTCCGGTGTTCCTGAAGTTCACTTCCGGTGTTTCCAATTCCGGTGTATCGCAATCCACTTCCGGTGTTCCCGAAGTTCAATTCCGGTGTTCCTGATTTGCATTTCGGGTGTGCCCGCAATCCACTTCCGGTGACCCTACAATCCATTTCCGGTGAGCCTGCAATTCACTTCCGGTGACTCTACAACTCACTTCCGGCGTTCTTGATTTGTACTTCCGGTGAGAATACAATCCACTTCCGGTGTATCTGCAATCCACTTCCGGTGAGCCTGCAATCCACTTCCGGTGAGCCTGCAATCCACTTCCGGTGACTCTGCAATCCCCTTCCGGCGTTCCGGACTTGTACTTTCGGTGAGCCTGCAATCCACTTTCGGCGAGCCTGTAATCCACTTCCGGCGAGCCTGCAATCCACTTCCGGTGACTCTACAACTCACTTCCGGCGTTCTTGATTTGTACTTCCGGTGAGAATACAATCCACTTCCGGTGTATCTGCAATCCACTTCCGGTGAGCCTGCAATCCACTTCCGGTGAGCCTGCAATCCACTTCCGGTGACTCTGCAATCCCCTTCCGGCGTTCCGGACTTGTACTTTCGGTGAGCCTGCAATCCACTTTCGGCGAGCCTGTAATCCACTTCCGGCGAGCCTGCAATCCACTTCCGGCGAGCCTGCAATCCACTTTCGGCGTTTCTGATTTGTGCCTCCGTAGAGCCTACAATCTACTTCCGGCGAGCCTGCAATCCACTTCCGGCGAGCCTGTAATCCACTTCCGGCGAGCCTGCAATCCACTTCCGGCGAGCCTGCAATCAACTTCCGGTGTACCTGAAATCCACTTCCGGTCATGTCATGCTAACATTGTGCAACATTGTGCAACATTGTTGCAATCCAGAGCACAATTAGCCTCCTGACCTGATAGGGGGCGGTCGGGTAGCCTAGTGGTTAAAGCTAAGACCCGGGTTTGATTCCCGACATGGGTACAATGTGTGAAGCCCATTTCTGGTGTCCCCCGCCGTGATATTGCTGGAATATTGCTAAAAGCGGCGTAAAACCATACTTACTCACTCACTCACTCACTCACTCCAAAACTCACTCACTCCAAAATTCACTCACTCACTCACTCACTCACTCACTCACTCTGACCTGATACAGTGAGAGTTTTAGTCACCTCTTCCATTTATATAAGTTAAATACTGAGAAAGACTGCGCAACGTGTTTCAATGTGACATTCTGAGAGAAATATGTCTTGAATCAGTCCTGCACTACATTAATACAACTTACAGCCTACGCGTATTCAATCCACAAACCATCGCTTCTCTTCCTTATTGCACAGGCACAGACCATAGAAAGACTTTATTACTCATGTGTCAAGACTTTCATAGTTATTCCAACACAGTGTTTGTATCAACATGATTAATGAAACGCAATTCATAATTTAGAGTTCAAAAAGTGCGCTGAGAAATGGTAAGATCTATATAAATATAACGTATACTATTCCACAAATATTATTCATACCCAACGAATAGCGTTGTTCTTTCTGTTTTCGAATGAATAAATAGTATCTGTCTTTGTGGTTAAGGCTTTTCTTGCGCATTTACAAAACTGGAGATATCATGCAACGTGCAACGTACGTACGTATGCTATTCGATTTTAGCCCCAGGAACGAAACCCGCACTGGTAGTACACGGGGGGATGCTGCGGGCTTATCACCTGCAAATAAATTAGCCCATGGCCAGACAAACGATGCTGTACATCCATAAGCTAGAACGGTTTAGTTCACAGCGCTAATGTGGCCACCAGTAATCTTATTCATCTCGCGCTATAGCCGAACATTTATTAATAGAAAGGGGGTTTTCCAGACAAGTCGCAACCGTCTGGAAATCCACTTTCGGCTACTTTGGGGTCCTTTCGGAAGTGCTCATGCCTCCAGTTTCGGTCCGCAGCATCCTTACACGGCTCGTTTTGGCCCAGGGGCACCCTCAGAGGCTGCAAACCCCCTTTCTAGAAGGAACTCTTTTTCTAAGAACTACTTACCTATTGCATGAACCCCAAACTCAACTCTCACCCTTCAACCCCCGCCAATCCAATCGCTCCCTTTTCATCGGCCGACGAATCGCTTTTCTCCCTTTCCCTTCTTTTGCTTCGATTACACGGGCCCGCTTTACCCCGCTTCTTCCCCGCTTTTAACGCGCTTTTAACCCGCTTTCGCCCACTATTCCCGCTTCCCTTTCAAACGTTAGCGCAATGTACCAACAAATAGCATCAATTAACTTGTCTTGTCTTTCATTTCATTTCGTCACATTTTCTCAGAAACTTTCACTATAATTTAAAAAATTTTTAAAGTCTTCATTTTACCACTAGTTACGGCTTCGCTTACAAACACAATATTGACAATTAACTTCTCTTGTCTTTCATTTCATCACATTTTTACAGAACATTTCACTACACATTTCAAAATATATATTACAATTTTAATGTCTTCATTTCACTTCCTTCTTCTCTTCTTGCCATTTCCTCTTCTTGCCCTTCCAATGCAGTTTCAACTCTCTTTCACGCAGTCACCATTTATTTTACATCTTTATTACTTTACCTCCACGGCTTTCTGTGGTCTGTAAAACAAATCATTCCATCATTATACTTTATTTTTCAAATATAGCAAATCCTTTTGATTTAGTTCCACTTTTTTTTCTACTTCTTTCCACTTTTTGCACAAATCCACCACGTCACTACACCGGCTACACCCCGAGCACCGACGGCCCAAAAACGCAGTTTAGCAAGACGGTACCAAGCCACTCAAAGGCCACCGGCTGCACCCAGAGCATCTGGGCATTGCACCGACCGCCAAAAAACGCAGTTTAGACAGCCGGCACCAAGCCACCCGGAAGGAAGCGGCAAAGCACCAATCACAAGCGGGATTACGAATGCCAAGGCCGTCATTTCCGCAATCGCTGGCCAAACATGGCCGCGGCGCACCTGACTTCTCGCTGGCTGGCATTACCACACCCAAGCGTGCTCGCTCCGTCGAGTCGCATCTCCATCGACGGACAGGACGATTATGCACATGCATCTGAAGGTAAGTTCATTCATATATTTCACTCCACGTCTTTTATTTCTCGCACAGAGCGGCCAATTCGGATTCTGTCCAACAGGGACGAAGCATGTTCCAAACCTTGTCCTCCCTCGGCCGTTTGCAACTTCTTCTTTCATCACAGAAAATGTCGCCTGTTTTTGCCGCTCTCTGGTGCACGTTGCAAGTGTTTTCGTGGCGAAGAAGCAGGCAGCGCGCTTTCTGTATTCTTGTATGTATGATAAATGCGTACCCTCACGTCCTGGCCACGCCCTATAACAGAGTATACAGCTACCGTATTTCATCTGACAGAAGAACTGCAATTTATTAGCATTAATCAACTTCATCACGTCCCTCAGTGTAAACAAACCTAAAGTTTTTAACTACCGTATTTCCTTCAAAAAACACATCCCTTTATCATGAGTATGCATTCATTATTCTCCATTCATTGATCAAGTTCTTTGTTTATATTCCATTTGCTGCTGTACAGGCCTGCCGAACCAATGCCCCGGCACTCTCCCTCCTGACTCCCTCCCTCCCTCCCTCCCTCCCTCCCCCCCCCCCCCCCCCCCCCAATCCTGTCTCGCTGCATAAAATGCGAAGGAGAACGTTAATTGTCTGTTCTTCTGAAAACCTTATCTAAAAGTAAATAATATTGTTGACATTCTTTGTGTTACCACTTCAGTGTATCTATGGCAACAGTTCTGTAATTATTCCAGTATCATGAACCAGGAAAAGTGACATATATATTGACACCTCAATGCCTAGATTTCCAAGAAGTTGAGTTTTAGTTGGTTTCCATGGTATCAGAGCATTAAGATTGGTGGAGTAAAAGTGTTGTTTATCTTGTTTTGACTGTGAATCACTTGTGCTCATTGTGTTGGACATTGTTGCAGATCCTCTCCAAGATGGCTCCGTGGCCACCGACACAATCTCCTGACACAACTTACCACAGCCCTGATATTTTCCTCTTTGTGGAAGATTGTGAAAGGTAGGCGATTTTATACCTTGGTCTCATTATTCTCAATAATATTTGTCATGTGGTGTCCTGTATTTGCGGTATCAAGCTCCCCGCTCCTAACAGCAAGGATTTATCTAGAATTGCAAACAAGGTGCCCTTGGCAGGCAAACTGGGGAGATGTTGTTCAAACTTTGATTTTTGGAATGTAAAATTTTTGCATTTTCTGAGGAATCGGGAAATTCAGATTCAAATTGGGAATTTGTACAATCATTTGCTGCCAACTTGGGGCTGAATATGGGTCTCTGAGCAAGTCTAGATAGTCCCCAAATAGATTTACGTGACAGGTCCTTTTTTGTGTATATTACAGCAATGGTGAAGGAGTAACTCATCAATGCACTTTACTGGGACCAGCTGATTTAGCACTAATTGGCTCAGGCTGTCGATTGTGGCTCTCACTTCACAGGTCTGTGTTCCAAAGCAATCCTTAGGGCAAGTTGTGTTTGTGTTAACATAGGTTAACCACAACTCTCTATTTAGCCCTTTCCGATCAAGCACCCTTTAACGATCATTAGGGTTAGGTTCCCCTTTCTGATAAAGCACCCCTTTACGATCATTAGGGTTAGGTTCCCCTTTCCGATCAAGCACCCTTTAACGATCATTAGGGTTAGGTTCCCATTTCTTATAAAGCACCCCTTTACGATCATTAGGGTTAGGTACCCCTTTCCGATAAAGCACCCCTTTAAGATCATTAGGGTTAGGTACCCCTTTCCGATCAAGCACCCCTTTACGATCATTAGGGTTAGGTACCCCTTTCCGATCAAGCACCCCTTTACAATCATTAGGGTTAGGTACCCCTTTCCGATCAAGCACCCCTTTACGATCCTTAGGGTTAGGTATGTGGTAGGGCATGGGTTAGCTATCTCTTATAATTGATCCAAAGTTATTTATGTAAAATCCACATAATTTTTTTTGAAGGTTTGAGCATGGCTATGTCTCTGACAACAAATGTAACTTGTAATCTCCCGGGTTCTTACATTTAGTCCTATGTTTATGTTTTTTGTTTCAATTGTCTTGTAACCATGGCAACATATGATACAAAGGAGGAATCTAGAGTTGCCATATTTTGTAGACTTGCTTGGGAGATTTCAGATATTTCAGATATTTCTTCTTCAGTGTCTGTATGAGAGACTTGTGCTGTTGTTCCTGACAAAGTATGACACCTACATCAGAAGTGTTGTCCATACATGTCCGTAACCCATGTCCATATGCCATTTCCATATACCTTGTCCATAACCCATGTCCATGTGCCATGCCGGTATACCATGTCCATATACCTTGTCCCAGACTTGTTTATTTACTGCCTTGGTGATGCTGGAATATTGCTCCAACTTTCAATCACTCACACACATGCTTATAAGACTGGGAGAGTGGAAGGTCGGTGGTTCAATCCCCTGGTGGCCCGTCTCATACCGAATGATGGTAAAGGATGGTACTTGGTGTTAGGATGAGGGTTGGGTTAGGGAAACCTCAACGATGGTTTATGTAGCTGTGTTATCTTGGTTACATACCGAGGTCCAGTTCACCAAGAAGTTGTTCAAAGCGGCATTATCACTCACTCACTCACTCACTCACTCACTCACTCACTCACTCACTCACTCACTCACTCACTCACTCACTCACTCACTCACTCACTCACTCACTCACTCACTCACTCACTCACTCACTCATCCTATACTTATCTCATTCTCAGCCTGTATCCCCTGATGTAACTGGATTTCTGTTAAAAAAATGAATGCCAGATTTACTACTATTTGGGATAGGGTACGGGAGTCGCATTGATTTTGAGTCACATTTTTGGCAAGGGGTCAGCAGTCATATTAATTTGGAGACGCATTAATTTCAAGATTTACAGTATATGTTCCATTCATGGCACAAGACTAGTGGAGGGACTAGTGAGGGCGGTAACTGTAGCAGTCAATGTAGCCGTCGCTGTAGCCGTCACTGTAACAGTCAATGTAGCCATCACTGTAGCAGTCGCTGTAGCAGTCATTGTAACAATCAATGTAGCAGTCGCTGTAGCCGTCACTGTAGCAGTCACTGTAACAGTCAATGTAGCCGTCACTGTAGCCGTCGCTGTAGCAGTCACTGTAACAGTCAATGTAGCCGTCACTGTAGCAGCCGCTGTAGCCGTCACTGTAGCAGCCGCTGTAGCCGTCGCTGTAGCAGTCACTGTAACAGTCAATGTAGCCGTCACTGTAGCGGTCGCTGTAGCTGTCACTGTAACAGTCAATGTAGCCGTCACTGTAGCAGTCGCTGTAGCCGTCGCTGTAGCAGTTGCTGTAGCCGTCACTGTAGCCGTCACTGTAGCTGTCAATGTAGCCGTCACTGTAGCTGTCGCTGTAGCAGTCAATGTAGCCGTCGCTGTAGCTGTAGCCGTCGCTGTACCAGTCAATGTAGCCATCACTGTAACTGTAGTTTTGCAAAAGTGAAGACCACAGCTGTGAGGTGCTATTTAAATATTGGTCCAATATGAGTCTCTGGCTGTTACAAAGACTTTGTTCTTTAAAAATTTTGAAATTTTGTTTTATTTTCTTCTTTCGATTAAATGCGACACCAGTAGACACTGCAACAAACGAAGCTATGAAAGTATTCATGATATACCGGGGGGTATAAGAAATTCCTCAGGTTTTGAGGGGTCAGCATGCTCTCAACTTTTGTACCTTATCTGTACCGTGTACCGTACTGTGGTAACTACCCGTAAAGGGTGGGGCTGCAACAATACCTACCTGTATGACAATGCATTTCAATACAAGTGTCAATGCGAGTGAATTGTGCAATGCTCAACATGCTCAAGGATACAAAATCTTCTTAGCCTTCACGTAATGGAAGATGATTGTATCGTGTCGGCACATGAAAAGTCACGATGCACCGGTGCGCCGATGGATCATTTCACCTCTTTAGCCTAGTGCCCTCTAGCCTGTGTGTTTCATATTGTTACCCTGTCTGGCGCTCGGCATTAAGGGGCTAAAACAAGGACTGGTCGGCTCGGAGTCAGTATACTGTGCATGAGTGGGGTATTCATGTTAAACTGTGGCATGGTATCTCAGTGAGCTAGCACTATAAATCGGCATCAGTCCGGACTAGTACAAGCAGCCACACAAGTGCACACAAACACACACACATACATGCACGTCGCATTATAAGTGCAATAATCTTGGACGCGACGTTAAACCCAATTTCACCTCACCTCGCCTCACCCGTGTGTTTCTGCCCAACAATATCCCATCTGCATCCCATCTTCATCCCAAATTCACCTGCAAAAAGAAACAATATCATCTTATGTAATAAAAAGTACTGTATCAGGATATGAATCGTATCGCACCAGTAGTATCGGGATGCATATCGCGAACCTGCTGTATCGTAACGACTCTAACATTGAAGGCTGCCTATAATCCTACTCGCTGTCGGTTGATTGGCTGAATGTTCAGGACCTTAATTGCAGAAAACAAAATAGTAGCTATAAAATATGTATATCAACGAACATTTGTAAAAGGGTATCCTGAAATCTATAGCATTGTAACCATTAACTTAAAACTGTCACGGACATGTGACTTGATATCTCAAATGGTCAGATAAGCTAAATTGATGGAAATGTCATGGTATAATTGTCAAGATAATGTTTTGATTATTGTGCTAGTGAATCTGATTATTATGGTCAATATAGTCAATAAAATTGGCTTCTTTAATAGAGTAAGTCAGGTAATCTGAACGGTGTGAATCGTTTGTTGTTTGTAGGAGATATTACAGCATAAACCCACAGACTACAACCATTGAGAGATAAAGAGAACATTAGTAATAACTAATCATATACAAACTGTCGAACAGTAAATTATTACCAGGTGATTTCTCCGGCACACTGGCTATATTGACTATCAACATTGATCTTGTGTCACGCATGGCACTTGACAGTTGGACATTCTGACACGTCTAAGTGTCCACAATCAATGGCAGCGGCTCACTGACACAGGCTCCTCGAAAACAATAATACATTGTGTACTTTGAGATGATGGGACGTCATGTTATGGACGCCATGTTAAGGACGTCATGTCAGGGACGCCATGTCAGGGACAACCTGTTAGGGACGTCATGTTAAGGACGTCATGTCAGGAACATCATGTCAAGGACATCATGTTAGGGACGTCATGTCAAGGACGTCATGTTAGGGACGTCATGTCAAGGACGTCATGTTAGGGACGTCATGTCAGGAACATCATGTCAAGGACATCATGTTAGGGACGTCATGTTAGGGATGTCATGTCAGGGACGTCATGTCAAGGACGTCATGTTAGGGATGTCATGTCAGGGACGTCATGTCAGGGACAACCTGTCATGGACCCCCTGTAAATGCTAACATCACTTTGTAGACGGGACCCTTACAAAAAACAAATCTTTAATGCGAAGGTATATTAACATTTTATTTATTGCAATAATTGCTTTAAAATATCAGTATTGGTCCTGTTATAAGTGAAGTAGTGAAGTACAGGTAACCTTTGCAATAATAATAATAATAATACTAATAAAAAAAATAAAAATAATAATAATGAAAATCCAAAATATAATGAATGATACTAATTTTAGTTGTTGAATTTGAAACTATATTTCAGGAAGTAGAATGTCTTTTGGTTGTAATGTTCGCTACTGTTATTCTACTATCATGCCCCGCAGCAATAAATCTTGGACCCTTATGACGATCCTTACCTTATGGGTCGAACTTGAATTAAACCACAAATAGTTTGGTGAATAATAAGTGGCCTGTGTAATCAGCAATTTATAGCTGGGCTTTCAGTGTACATTAACAGCCAAGCAGGTGCTTGTTCATGTCATAGTGATGAAGACTGTTGTTGACACTATCAGTGTCATCACTCACTGATAATATCGGCAACCTGCAGACAGGAAGTGTGTCATTAGATTAAAATCGGGGCTTCTTTCAAGTCCACTTCTTATGGTTTGAGTGTGTTGCCTTGTGAAGTGCGCATTGGTGTACGACAACAGTGATGTTTGAACAATGCAGGTGATCACCTTACCTTGCTCGGATGAGGTAATATGAGGTATTATGAAATAATTAATATCTAATTTGATGTGATAGCAGTTCATTGGCAATTGGGTGGTTGGCCTCGTGATTCAAGTGCTTGCCTGTCACAATGAAGATTTGGCTTAGATCCTCAATATAGACACAATGTGTGAAGCTCTTTCTGCTGTTGCGTCGCGCGATGTTGCTGGAATATTGCTGAAAGTGGTGTGAAAAGTCACTCATTCGAAATATTTGTATTTGAGTGTGTGAGTTTTATTTGATGCTAAAACAACAGCTTAGTTGTACCATAGCGTGTCATATGATGCAATGGAAAAGAGATATTGCTGGAAAGGTTATAAGAGCTAATTGTCAAGCAGAGCAGATTGTGTTTTCAGGCCTACCAATGAAAACTGATAGACTGCAAGAAAAAACTGTCATAAAGTTATGTCTACACACACAAGGAATAGGCAACAGAAAAAGATTAGAACATATGACAGTGTTTTGTTGCAGTCTGTTTTGGTAGACCTGTTTTTGTCCTTGATGGTCTAACAGAGCAATAGGTCTTCAGCAACCCATGCTTGCCGTGAAAGGCGACTATGCTTGTCATAAGAGGCGACTAACGGGATCGGGTGGTCAGGCTCACTGACTTGGTTGATGCATGTCATCGTATTCCAATTGCTTGGATCAATGATATTAATCACTGGATTGTCTGGTCAAGACTTGATTATTTACAGACCGCTGTCATATGGCTGGAATATAGCTGAGTTCGGCATTAAACAAACAAACAAAACAGAGCAGCTTGCCGTTTTCCTTGATGGTCTAACATGACAGGCTCCCAGTTTCCTTGATGGTCTATCATGACAGGCTCCCAGTTTCCTTGATGGTCTAACATGACAGGCTCCCAGTTTCCTTGATGGTTTAACATGACAGGCTCCCAGTTTCCTTGATGGTCTAACATGACAGGCTCCCAGTTTCCTTGATGGTCTAACATGACAGGTTTCTTGTTTCCTTAATGGTCTAACATGACAGGCTTCTTGTTTCCTTGATGGTCTAACATGACAGGCTCCTTGTTTCCTTGAAAGTTTAACATGACAGGCTCCTTGTTTCCTTGAAAGTTTAACATGACAGGCTCCCAGTTTCCTTGATGGTCTAACATGACAGGCTCCCAGTTTCCTTGATGGTCGAACATGACAGGCTCCCAGTTTCCTTGATGGTCTAACATGACAGGCTCCCAGTTTCCTTGATGGCCTATCATGACAGGCTCCCAGTTTCCTTGATGGTCTAACATGACAGGCTCCCAGTTTCCTTGATGGTCTAACATGACATGCTCCCAGTTTTCTTGATGGTCTAACATGACAGGCTCCCAGTTTCCTTGATGGTCTATCATGACAGGCTCCTAGTTTCCTTGATGGTCTATCATGACAGGCTCCCAGTTTCCTTGATGGTCGAACATGACAGGCTCCCAGTTTCCTTGATGGTCTAACATGACAGGCTCCCAGTTTCCTTGATGGCCTATCATGACAGGCTCCCAGTTTCCTTGATGGTCTAACATGACAGGCTCCCAGTTTCCTTGATGGTCTAACATGACATGCTCCCAGTTTTCTTGATGGTCTAACATGACAGGCTCCCAGTTTCCTTGATGGTCTATCATGACAGGCTCCCAGTTTCCTTGATGGTCTATCATGACAGGCTCCCAGTTTCCTTGATGGTCTATCATGACAGGCTCCCAGTTTCCTTGATGGTCTAACATGACAGGCTCCCAGTTTCCATGATGGTCTAACATGACAGGCTCCTTGTTTCCTTGATGGTCTAACATGATAGGCTGCCAGTTTCCTTGATGGTCTAACATGACATGCTCCCAGTTTCCTTGATGGACTAACATGAGAGGCTCCTAGTTTCCTTGATGGTCTAACATGACAGGCTCCTAGTTTCCTTGATGGTTTAACATGACAGGCTCCCAGTTTCCTTGATGGTCTAACATGACAGGCTCCCAGTTTCCTTGATGGTCGAACATGACAGGCTCCCAGTTTCCAAAGCGGGTTAGACCTTGTACATGTAGTTGAGATTTCTTTGGTGAGTTGAACAGAGTCTACTGTAACACAATATTTCCTTTCTTTGACCAGACAAAGATAATTCATCTTGCCTCAAGTCCTTCATCATCCATGCTTGTCACTGAAACCAGAGTTCTTACAGGTGTGAGTCACTATGCAGGCAACGGCAGGGGAAAAACATGTTTCGAGACAGATCAGATAATTCTCACTTTGGGTGTTTTTGAAATCCATCACTGCTCATGCAGATTATGTTCCGTTCATACTTGATACTTGCAGGTCTTACCTCAGCTATTTTTAGCATACAAGTATTTTCCATCAAGTCGTTCAATATCTCTATAATGGAACAGGTAATATATCAAGTCTGTGAAAGGCATTTAGAAGTGATACGCATAAGGGAGAGAACTTATGCATGTCATCTTCTTTATTATGAGGGGGGCCGTCGGGTAGCCCAGTGGTTAAAGCGTTCACTCGTCATGCCGAAGGCCTGGGTTCGATTCCCAAAATGGGTATAATGTGTGAAGCCCATTTCTGGTGTTCCCCGTCGTGATATTGCTGGAATATTGCTAAAAACGGCGTAAAATCATACTCAACTCGCTCATTATTATTATTATGCCTAAATTCTCTATCTTATGTACTTTATCCAGGTAGAGTGTGACATTGAGGGTGAGTGAGTGAGTGTGCAGAGAGAGAGAGAGAGAGAGAGAGAGAGAGAGTTTGGGGATATTTTTATGTGGCTCTAATCACGCTCTCATTTTCTCTCTCGCTTTATTTTCTCACAAAATACACAAATGCTAATTGATATCTTAGACATCATATCTTTGAAAATCAATACATTTGCATATTTTCCCACCAATTTAAAACATAATAGGGGTCAAGTGGTGGTAAATTCAGTTCTTACCCCAGTCTATATTTGTACTCAGAATTACCCAGCCACAGATAACCCTTTACAATCTGTTGCAGGAATGAATGCTGGGTAAACAGATGTGATCCTATTTGACAACAGTTCTTTCAATTTTGAATTACATAAAAAAAAAAATCGTGTTTTCTTTCTTTTGCCCCTCAGGTTATCAATATATTTGAAGAATTGTGAGGTTCAAATTGAAGAGGCTGTTACCATGGTTACTGTTCAACATACTTACATCAAACGTCATTCTGATTGTTATATCCTGCACCATGACTGGGGAATGTATTTATTTTATGAAAAAAACCCAGACAATCCAGATATGTATACAAAAGCAAGTCTAGCCAGCTCTAGCTAGCTCTATTCCACAGCATCGGGAAAATTATCTGTTTAATTTTAGACTCAAGAAGGGTATTGTGTAATATAAGATTTCATAGACTAAATGTTAGTCTACGATTGTTACTGTTGTTGTCATTGATGTTGTTTTGTGTTGCAGAATTCCATACGTCACAATCTGTCGTTAAACAAGTGCTTCCTAAAAGTTCCAAGGTCGAAGGACGATCCAGGAAAGGTACGTTCATGTGAAAAGCGCCCCCATTTGCAACACTGAACAGCAACACACAGTGTCACGTGCACACAGGCTGGTAAAATTACTCATGTGCTTTGAACATGATGGAGACACAGGGAGATAGCTAGGATTTAACACTAAGTGCTCCTGGCAGGCCAATTGGGAAAGAATGGTTGTTTTGTTCAAAATAGGGTTTTTGTGGGGAGTTCTTACTTTCAGAGGTTGCATTTTAACATTGCGTTCATCACAGTCATGTAAAATTATCCCTCTTTCTCTGTCTCCCACTGTTATCAGTGAAATGAATACAAGTTACTTCGACCAAACCGTTACATGAGTTGTAGCTATATTACACGAATTTAGATATTTTAACTCCACTTTGGGGATTTTTTACTGACAATGCTGCAGGCTAGGCTGTGGATGGAGTCTTGTACAGTCATGGTAGCTAGGCTGTGGATGGTGTCTTGTACAGACATGGTAGCTAGGCTGTGGATGGAGTCTTATACAGTCATGGTAACTAGGCTGTGGAGGGTGTCTTGTACAGTCATGGTAGCTAGGCTGTGGATGGAGTCTTGTACAGTAATGGTAGCTAGGCTGTGGATGGAGTCTTGTACAGTCATGGGTCTTTCAGATTTATCATGGAGTGAGTAAGGTTTTTGAAGCAGCAATGTTCTGGCGATATTACAGCAAGATCACTGCAGGGGGACACCAGACATGGGTTTTCCATGTTTTCCAAATTTATGACTTCAACATTAGGGTCCCAACAGCAACCCCATTGATTTCTTTGCTTTCAGATTCCAGGGTAGAATAGGTCTTCAGCAACCCATACTTGCCGTAAAAGGTGACTATGCTTGTCATAAAAGGCGACTAACAGGATCAGGTGGTCAGGCTCGCTGACTTGGTTGAAGCATGTCATCGATCCCAGTTGTGTGGATCTATGCTCATGATATTAATCACTGGATTGTCTGGTCCAGACTCGATTATTTACAGACTGCCGTCATAAAGCTGGAATATTGCTGAGTGCGGCGTAAAACAACAAACCAAATCAAAATCTTTGCTTTCATTTTCCCCCCACTGCAGTTGCCGGTGACTTGTGTAAGGTGTCTATGGCTGTAGGGTAGACTGTTATGTTGTAATGGAAGCTACTAAATTCATCTTGAAGGGCTGGCTTATTATGTTTCGGCAAAAACCAAACTATCATCTTCTCTTGCTGAAGCGTTTCTCCTTTCATCCTTGATTCTATTGAGGTGGTATGGTTTGATCTGGGATAATTAAAGGAACATAAAATTCAGTAATGAATCAAAACTTAAGTCGACCAGTGCAAAAGGAAATTAAGCAGCCAAATATTCATTGAAGCAGAACATCGATAGTAAAGTTAAGCAATGAAATCTAAATGTTGGTATAAGTGAGGAGTGGAGTCAAGCAGTTTGAATTGATATATAACGTCGAGAAAGTGGAGGTGAAAAAGCTAATCAGAATGTACGAAGACCAAGTTAGTTATTTGCTCTTTTAATTGTGTTTCACAGTAAACCGTTCTCACTCCTCTCAAATTAAGCTCACACACCATAATATTGCTGTAGTTCTGTTCAACGTGGGGGGCACGGGTGGCCCAGTCGTCTAAGGCACTGCGATTCGCTGTGCAGAGTTGAGTCCCTTGGACACGCCAGAAACCTGTGATTGTGGGTTCGAATCCGGGTTCGCCCCGATTATGTATCTAGCTTTGTCAGCACCATACCCGTGCTTGTAGGTTTAACTGAAGTGGTAAACGTCTGAGACCTGCATCACTTTGGGCTTCCCTCCCACATTAAGCTGACACACCACAATATAACTGGAATACTGTTAAAAGCAGCGTTATACCCAACTCACTGTTCAACGTGTCATGAAGCCCACCTCACTCACAAGCCCTAGCTACTCCAACTGTCACCAGGCGTGGTTTGTTAGTGCCAAGTCAAAGTGTTTTGGGTGCCAGGATAGCCAAGTGGTTAAGGTGTTAGCTCATCATGCCAGCCACCTGGGTTTGATCCCCCACATAGGCACCATGTGTGAAGGTCATTCTTGTTTTCCTCTGCTGTGATATGGTTGGAGAATGGCTACAAGTGGAGCAGTGGCGGTCGGGTTGCCTAGTGGTTAAAGCGTTTGCTCATCACGCTGAAGACCCGGGTTCAATTCCCGACATGGGTACAATGTGTGAATCCCATTTCTGGTGTTCCCCGCTGTGATATTGCTGGAATATTGCTAAAAGCAGCGTAAAAGCAAACTCACTCACTCACTCACTCACATTTGGAGCAAACACCAACTTACTCAAACAGATGTGTTGTTTCCGGACGGCATGGATCGATGCTCATGATATCAATCACTGTATTGTCTAGTCCACTCTCAATTATAAACATCATCGTATACCCTGAATATTCCCGACATCAGCATTAATCACAAACAAGAACGACGTCGACTTACTTGGCACTATCCTTGCGAACTGAGGTTATGTTTCACAGCTCATTCAGGACGTGACAGTGAGCAAGTGTTTCAGTGCAGCAGTAAAGATTTTTACCGTAAGATTTGTACCATACGAGTAAACATAGAAGTGGGTCAATGGTTAGACTTGTGCAAGTCTCTAAGGCAATAACTATTAGTTTAAATCTTAAGTTCTAGATCATATAAATAATAAGAACAAGTGGTCCCTATAAGAGACTGGAGTCCTCACTGTCCACATATCTAGACTTGACTATTAGGAGGATAGAATTACTACACATCCATGGACTTTTCTTTCAGTACAGCCTTGGAGCAAGGCTAGTCACTGGTAAACCCTGTCGCAGACTGTCCTTGAGAGAAAAGGGACAGTTGTTGATGCTGTGAGATACATGGTCGTAAAGCCTACCTCTGTGTAGCAATAACACACAGATGAGGGCGTGATACAGTGTATGTACTGTACTTTTTACTGGAACAGTTTGGGTGTTGATGTTTCAAGCATATGGACCTCCCATGTTGGTAAAAACGTCCAGATTGTGTTTTGACGATGGTAACAGCTCATTCATTTACATGTGTAAATTGTCATGATGCAGTGTTTGCTGTGGGGACTGCTGTATCAAGTTCACATTATTATTAGGACTGTTGTCTGTGGGAGGTCATTACTCCAATTCACTGTCGATACAGTGGTATGATAGGACCAGGTGATACAGGCTTCTGTTGCAAGATTCTGGTGTTACGAGTCTTAGATATGTCCAGTGGATAGCAAGATTCTGGTGTTACAAGTCTTAGATATGTCCAGTGGATAGCAAGATTCTGTAGCAATGCTGAAGTAGCAGTGTAGGGGGACTGGATGAAGCCAGCAGTGTGTGCTGTATGTAGCAATGATGAAGTAGCAGTGTAGGGGTACTGGATGAAGTCAGCAGTGTGTGCTGTATGTAGTAATGCTGAAGTAGCAGTGTAGGGGGACTGGATGAAGCCAGCAGTGAGTGCTGTATGTAGTAATGCTGAAGTAGCAGTGTAGGGGGACTGGATGAAGTCAGCAGTGTGTGCTGTATGTAGCAATGCTGAAGTAGCAGTGCAGGGGGACTGGATGAAGTCAGCAGTGTGTGCTGTATGTAGCAATGATGAAGTAGCAGTGTAGGGGGACTGGATGAAGTCAGCAGTGTGTGCTGTATGTAGCACTCTGCTAAGTCAGCAAATGTCAGTAAAATTGGAATTACCGTATTCGACCTAATAAGCGCCCTGCTCTAATTTTGAAAGCGCCCAGGGCGCTTATTACGTTGAATACGGTAACAGTTTCCCTATTCATGTTACCAGACTTTTTGTTCTGGCTTTGTGAAGGTAGCTTGTGTATCAATGACAACAGGGCCAATGAAGTGGAAGAGGCGTTAATGCCCAGTTTTACAGTGTCGCACTGAATGCAATAGTAAAATATCCCCAAATTTAGGAAAATTGAAACTTGTTAAAAAATCCCAATTTTGAACAAAAATAATTATTTTCCCCCAATTTGCCTGCCATGGGCACTTAGTTTTAAATCTTGGCTAAATCCCTTCTTCCTGTAAGAGCTGATTGATGAGGATCAGTTGGTTACAGTTGTCGATTGTGTTATGGAGACGGTGATGCTCATGCTGTCAACGGGGCGGTCGGGTAGCCTAGTGGTTAAAGCACCCGCCCATTATGCTGAAAACCCGGGTTCGATTCCAGACTTGGGTACAATGTTAGAAGCCCATTTCTGATGCCTCTACCATGATATTGATGGAACATTGCAAAAAACTCACTCACTCATTCATTCACTCTCACTCTCTCACTCACGCTGTCAACCACTAGTTATGATGATAATCATTGTTACTTTCAGGGGTCGTACTGGGCAATAGACAGCAACCCCCCTGAAGACCCCCTCCCTGCCAGACACAAGAAGAGGCCGAGGCTGAACGATCGGGTGAGTACACAGCTGCTGAAGAACTAAGGGGACGACCATTAAATTTTCAGGGTTGGGTGTGGCAGGGATTGTCATAGGACAAATATTTTATTTATTTGCATGTGAAGGGAGATGGTTGGGATTGCTCCATTTTGAAAACACTTATATTGTTGCGATGCAGTGATCCAAATTGAGAATGACCCTTATGTTAAGAGCTTAAAATTTAGTGTGTTCCTAGATTTAAAAAATCAGTCAAAACTTCTTGATCATCATTTTGAACCTGATAACTATAGCGGTACTGAAAAGAATGTATTTGCAATTAAGGCCATGATAAAATATTAGATTCATCCCAGCCATTATTTATTGTCGCCAAGCAACCACAAATGATTAAAAAAAAATTCTTTCTTTGCTGGATAAAATACATCAGATTCACATTCCAAATATTCAACTGTGTATAAAGCCTGTCCAGTTAGAACATCAATGCCTTGAACAATTTTTTTAAAAGAGTAGTAAAAAAAATAGAATTCCTCCTGCCTGGTTAAAATCTAACCATGTATTGTCGCTGGACCGTGCATTGATATACGATAACAGCCTTGTGTATGACAGCTTGGTCACATGACTGGTATCTGGTATTGCAGGCGTCACCGTACAGTCCGGAGCCAGGGCTTGGTGTCACGAAGATGCCGCCCCAGACGTTGACAGCCGTCAATGTGCAAGTGTCTCCTCCCTCACCTCAAAATCAAGTAAGTTATTTCTCATATTGTCTAACCGAAAAAACAAAACGTTTTAGATATATATGGCATTGTGGTACCAGGTTAGAATTAGTCCCCAGCGCTGCTTGGTGTCGGGATGGTGGTGATGGTCGGGCGATGGCCGGGTGGTCAGGCGATGATCGGGCGATGGTCGGGTGATGGTCAGGAGATGGTCGGGCGATGGTCAGGCGATGGTCGGGAGATGGTCGGGTGATGGTCGGGTGATGGTCGGGTGATGGTCGGGAGATGGTCGGGTGATGGTCGGGCGATGGTCGGGCGATGGTCGGGAGATGGTCGGGTGATGGTCGGGTGATGGTTGGGAGATGGTCGGGAGATGGTCGGGAGATAGCGAAGTGATAGACTTGCTTGATTGCCTGTCCTCTCCTTACCTCAAGGGTGTAGGACATTGCTCATATTACTTGATGCATTTCCTATAATTGGCTCAGATAGCTTTGAAAATATGTTCCTAATCTGGGGTTTCTCTTCTGAACCGGGCTTTCGACATCCAGATTACAGTTGATTTCAACACAAAGTTTCAGACCTGCACTTCAAGTTATAACTTTAATCGTAATGAGTTAGAAATATGGTTCTGCTCTGGTGTGGCATGAAGTACCTGGTCAATCTGAAATAGCGGAAGTAAAGATGTGTGAAAGTGGTATTGATTCTTAATCTACCTTCAAACATACGTCAGTCGTTGATTTGGTACAGGCATGAAATATTAATAGCGATGTATTAGGAAATGTCCTGGAGTGCAAGCAGTATTGATTATATTCCCCTACCTATATACTGTTACAAAGTGTATACTGTTCCACTGGATAAATAGCTGGTGGATTTATAGGCAGATGGTTTGATTCATATTACCTGAAGCAGGACTTGTTTCACAAAGCAAAGCTCAATAACAGGCTTTATTTCCTAGAGGACCAAGGCAGTATACTGACATTTGTCACAGTTAGTACAGTGTGTCAGTTTGACTTGTTTGGGGAAAGCAAAGCTCAATAACAGGCTTTATTTCCTAGAGGACCAAGGCAGTATACTGACATTTGTCACAGTTAGTACAGTGAGTCAGTTTGACTTGTTTGGGGAAAGCAAAGCTCAATAACAGGCTTTATTTCCTAGAGGACCAAGGCAGTATACTGACATTTGTCACAGTTAGTACAGTGTGTCACTTTGACTTGTTTGGGGAAAGCAAAGCTCAATAACAGGCTTTATTTCCTAGAGGACCAAGGCAGTATACTGACATTTGTCACAGTTAGTACAGTGAGTCAGTTTGACTTGTTTGGGGAAAGCAAAGCTCAATAACAGGCTTTATTTCCTAGAGGACCAAGGCAGTATACTGACATTTGTCACAGTTAGTACAGTGTGTCACTTTGACTTGTTTGGGGAAAGCAAAGCTCAATAACAGGCTTTATTTCCTAGAGGACCAAGGCAGTATACTGACATTTGTCACAGTTAGTACAGTGTGTCAGTTTGACTTGTTTGGGGATATTTTATTGTATTTCCCCGTCTAATATTTTTTATCATTTTTTTCTTTATGATTTGTTTGTTTGTTTATTTGCTGTTTATCACGCAATCAGCAATATTCCAGCAGTATGTAAATAATTGAGTCTGGACCAGACAATCCAGTTAATGATATCATGAGCATCGATCCATGCAATTGGGATATGATGACATGCATCAACTAGGTCAGCGAGCCTGACCACCCGATCCCGTTAGTCACCACTTACGACAAGCATAGTCGCCTTTTACGGCAAGCATGGGTTGCTGAAGACCTATTCTACCCTGGATCTTCACGTGTCTTTTTCTTTATGATATAGGCTGGGTGTGTAGAAATAATGGTAAATATGATAATAATGCAAATATATCTCACCCAAAGACTTCCTCATGGAGACCCGTGAAGGGCCAGGGAGAGACTAGGTCTCAGCAACCCATGCAAGAACCTTGATCGTTGGTTTGTCCTGATTATGTGTCAAGGATAATCAGCGCCATGCCTGAAAATGTGGGTTTTATTGCAGTGATAAATGTCCTGCGTCCTAATTATTAATACCCCAAGTTCAGTGTGTTTAGAACTGGCTGGAGTGTGTTCTAACATAAACCTATTCAAACGTACTTACCGGGTAATAAGGTATGCCAAGTGTCTTTATCCCGAGACATGTACCATTTTCTAACTCCATTTGTGCTTTCAGAATAATCAAACAACATAATCTCCCTTTCAGAGTTGTAAAAATAATATTTACTATAGTATTGGCTGAATGCCATTGACTGGGTTAGAGAATGGCAAAATGCCAACAGGGACCCACTTGGTCACATAAGATGTTTATAAAGATCTCTGGGTAGAAAATAGCTGCAAGGGGGTACTTTCTGGGTCAGACATGGCAGGCGGAGGGGAGGTTTTTGTACGACTCAAGTGTCATGGCTTGTGTTACCGGAGCTGAATTAGATTTGTGAATGTACTGTGCGGGTATTTATATATTGAAATGGTTGGTCAGGTAATATTTAATTGAATCTGGAGGCTGAAGTAGGTCTGGTACTCCTGTGTAGGATAAAACACCTCGAAGGGTTTTTATGAGATTTAAAACCCAAAGGCAGTGGATAAAACCAAGGGGCCAGATGTTTTATCCTAGAGAATGAGGTTTTTAAATCTCATAAAAACCTGAAGCAGGGTTAGAAATTGGCACTAGTCCTATAGTCCTTGCCAAACTGCCCAATGGTAAAGGTATCACAAGGACTAGTAGAAAATTGCCATTTTTAAGGGTTTTGCTATATGTTATCATTATAAGGACTAGTGGACGAAAACTGTTAGTTTCTAACTCTGTGAAGGTGTTTTATCTAACTTATAAACTGAAAAAAGAAACTTAAAACATTTATCAACAATTTTTTGGCTTCAAACATACTTTCCATGAACCTCAGGAAACGGGCATAAAATATCTGTTGTTGTTGTATGGTACTTGAAAAAGACGTTCTTAAAAGCATTGTGATTGATCAGCGCCTCTGTGTCCTGGTGGTACACTCACTGGGCTATGAAGGCTGCATGGTCGATCCTCGGGAATATAAACAAAACATTTGTCATTTGATTTTACATTTCATGACATTGTCTTCAAATGCAAAATAAATTTCCATCAATAAACATTCCTATGTTACAATATATACAGAAGTTGTATTATTAAAATTCCCAGGGATATTATGTAAAACTCCCGTGATATTATAGAGTGAGTTAATATTTAAAGTCACATCGGCAATATTTCAGCCATATCGTGACCCGTGATATTATAACATCCCTGTTTATGAGATTAACCCTCATGGAGAACAATAGGATGACATCACTGGAGGTTGGTAGTACTGAGTATAAGGTTTGCTGAAAACACATAAGATAAAGGGATCCTTTTTCCTGAAATCAATGTTGCTTCGTATGCATTAAATATGTTGAAAGAAAAGGGGCATTGTCTGGAGCAAGTTGTTGCGGTAATTATGGATGTGCAAATAGGAAAACATATATCACTAAGTTCTAACATTTACATTCAACATATATCTGTGTTTGGGGAATGCGGAACTTTGTCGGTTGTGAAGCAGGGCTTGATTTAAGCAACTGGATTTAACTTGCACCAGGTGTATGTTGACATGAAAAGGTAGTTGGTACTGATATAACCAGGTTGCACCCTGGTCCCATAATTTTATTAAAGTGGAAACAAAGATGCATTAACTAGTCCTAATACCGTATTCCACATAATAAGCTCCCAGGGCGCTCTCCAAATTAGAAATAGGGGGCTCTTTTATTAGAATATTATTTTGGTGTAAAGTTGAAAGATTGTAAATTTCTTTGTTTATGCTGACAGCCTGAAATGTTTATATACAACAGATGTATTTTTCCAGAATTTAATGTCCCATAATTAAAGATGCATATAACACACGTATTACACACAAATAAATAAGGCATGTGTACATTGATCAATCGGAAGGGGTGCTAGTTGGGATTGTTCACTGGCCAATATATTAGCAAATATCGCCGTGGGCGCTTATCAGAGCGGGGTGCTTATTACGTCGAATACGGTATGTAAAATCTCAAATCTCTGATGACTGTGTCATGTGTCATGAATTACATGTAACACTTGGTGCATGGAGACATAAATATATGATTGCATTTTTCAATACTAGGTAGCACTGGTGCAAGTTCTATATAGCTAAGTTGATACCTGTGATGTAAATACAACAATATGCAGGAGAAACAGACTGTTGGCTTGGAGTCAGTATACTGTGTCTGAGTTGGGTGTGGCTAAACTGCGGCGGGGTGTCTCAGTGGGCTGGCATTAGTCTGGACTTAGTACGAGCAGTCACGCACACATGTGCATGCATGTTGATGTGTAGGTGCAGTAATCTGGAATGTGACATTATGCCCCGTTTCACCTCCCTACACCTCTGACATTTGTGAACCAGTGGTTGATAATGTGATCAATGCCAACACCTTCAGGGTACCGTATTTTCTTGAATATAGTGCACACCCGAGTATAATGCGCACCCCCCTCTAGCGGATTCAGTATTTTGGAGAATATTTTTTAAATATTTTGCGCAGATGAGAAACTTGGTCAGTACAAATTTGAAATTAGAGATAAAAAAAATCACCAGACATGATGATTTACCGTTTAAATTGTAATTTTTGTTCTGCTATGCATTGTTTTAAATCCAGGGATTAAGATTACCTTGTGTATTTTCTCGTAAACTAAGCCACTGAAAGGGAACTTGGTGTTGGTAGTGCTTTTGAAGGGCTGCCATCTCGTCTTTATAATCTTATTTGGTTTTCCTTCTGAATGTGATACAGGTTATGCAACTCTTAAATGCCAGTGTGTTTATATGTTGTTCTATTTTCAGAGTAACTGCAATTTCTCTGAAAGTAACGGAAATCCAGATGACATGAATGCATCATCCAATCTTGTTAACCTCTACAAGTCCGTCTTTGAAAACTCTACAGGTAACCATGGTAACATAGGATTACCAGCACTCTCTGCTCATTTCCTGAAGAAAATAATTGAAATATTAGACGTGAAATGGTATTATTATTAATTGTTTATTGTTATTATTATTGTTTGTTTATTATTATTTGTTTATTGTTATTGTTTGTTTATTATTTTATTATTTTATTATTATTGTTATTATTTGTTTATTATTTGTTTTATTATTTATTTATTAATTATTATTATTGTTATATATTATTGTTGTTTTTGTTTGTTTATTATAGTATATAATATATAGTATATAGTATTCACGACCGTCCGTACGTCCGTCCGTACGTCCCACCTGTTTGTTGCCGCGATATCTCAAGAACTAAACACTGGATTGTCTTCATATTTGGAACTATGGTGTATATACAGACTCCGCAGACACCAGTCGGTTTTGGTGACCTTGATCCCATTTTCAAGGTCACAGCAGACAAATCTGCTTTTAGAGTTGGAAAACGGTGTTGCCGCGATATCTCAAGAACTAAACACTGGATTGTCTTCATATTTGGAACTATGGTGTATATACAGACTCCGCAGACACCAGTCGGTTTTGGTGACCTTGATCCCATTTTCAAGGTCACAGCAGACAAATCTGCTTTTAGAGTTGGAAAACGGTGTTGCCGCGATATCTCAAGAACTAAACACTGGATTGTCTTCATATTTGGAACTATGGTGTATATACAGACACCGCAGACACCAGTCGGTTTTGGTGACCTTGACCCCATTTTCAAGGTCACAGCAGGCAAATCTGCATTTGGAGTTGGAAAACGGTGTTGCCGCGATATCTCAAGAACTAAACACTGGATTGTCTTCATATTTGGAACTATAGTGTATATACAGACTCCGCAGACACCAGTCAGTTTTGGTGACCTTGATCCCATTTTCAAGGTCACAGCAGGCAAATCTGCTTTTAGAGTTGGAAAACGGTGTTGCCGCGATATCTCAAGAACTAAACCTCTCGATTGTCTTCATATTTGGAACTATGGTGTATATACAGACACCGCAGACACCAGTCGGTTTTGGTGACCTTGACCCCATTTTCAAGGTCACAGCAGGCAAATCTGCTTTTGGAGTTAGAAAACGGTGTTGCCGCGATATCTCAAGAACTAAACACTGGATTGTCTTCATATTTGGAACTATAGTGTATATACAGACACCGCATACACCTGTCAGATTTGGTGACCTTGACCCCATTTTCAAGGTCACAGCAGGCAAATCTGTTTTTGGAGTTGGAAAACGGTGTTGCCACAATATCTCAAGAACTAATCGCTGGATTGTCTTCATATTTGGTACTATGGTGTATATGGCGGGGGATATTTCGTCACTCTGTGACAAATACTTGTTTTTATTGTTGTTGTTTATTATCGTCCATGTTCCTGCAAGCAGTTTGTGTTTATCTTGCACGACTGGTTGATTTAGGTTTGTTCTGATAGTTTCATGCAATGAGATGAATCATAATGTTTAGTGACACATGGTCAGGTAATGCTAGTATAGTTATTGTAATGTTATTGCAAAATGCACCGAATATAAATTTAGAAAATTGATACAGAATTAATCCATGAATTGATACATGGTTAGACGTATCGTGTATATAACGTCAGGTGTAGATTGCACTGGGAAACAGTTTTCAGGAGAACTGTTCAACATATATTGTCCTTTGATTAGTCGGAATAAGGCTTTGTCATCAACTAGCCTTGCTCCAAGACTGTACTGAAAGATAAGTCCATGGATGTGTCGTAATACTACCCTCCTAATAGGCAAGTCTAGATATGGGAATCCAGTCTCTTATAGGGACAACTTGTTCTTATTATTTACCTCATCTAGAACTTATGAATTAGACTATTAATTATTGCCTTACAGACTTGTGCAAGTCTACCCAACGCTCTGCTCTGTTTCAGGTAACTTGAATGCTCTCCTCAATGGAAACATCTCACAGAGCCAAAGTGGGACAGGTGAGATGATGATGATGATGATGATGATATAGATGATATAGATGATATAGATAGGTAATCTTATCCATGAAAAGTGTGATTTCCATGACAAACATATTGCTTCAAAGTTTTGTAGGAACCATGTCTTACCCAAGGGTCATTTAGCCATTCCTCCTATCTGACGTAATGATGTTGAATTAGCCAGACTTTGGAATAAACCAGACTTTGGAATAAACCAATCAGGCCTACACATTCCATGTTGTAGATTTTTTACTCCAGTATTTTTTTCTCGGTTATAAATAATAATTCATGGTGCCAAACAGTTTTGATTGAATAAAACATGCTGATTTATTTTCAGGCATTCCAAGTTTGAATTGTTCCACCAGTGAGTGGTTACAGAACCTGGACTCGCTGAAAGAGAGCATGCGATTGGCTGGAGCGGGGAGTGACCTCAATAATATCGACATGACCCAGTTTCAAGGTATTTTTGGGATCTGTGGCTAACTACAAGAATGTTACAGTCATAGAAGGGTTTCAGATATTGTCGATAACAGTGTTCAAACATAACCTACCTCAACAAATAGGAAATTATTTATAATTTTGGATAGTATCATTTAAATACTTACATAACAAATGTTATATTTGGGATAACACTTTCTTAGTAAAGTACAGATTCCAGTACGTTTTGGGGTTGAGTCACATCCGGGATTCGACCCCGCACTGTCAGAGTGAGGTTACATTTGTCCACTTTCTAAATGGCATTGTGTGTTCATAAGTACTTACAGTGCAGACCCGTGAAGATCCGGGGTAGAATAAGTCTTCAGCAACCCATGCTTGCCGTAAATGGCGACTATGCGTTTTGTAAGAGGCGACTAACGGGATCAGGAGATAATCATTGTGTATAATCTATCCATCATGTAGTCATCTGCTCATCAGGAGATAATCATTGTGTATAATCTATCCATCATGTAGTCATCTGCTCATCAGGAGATAATCATTGTGTATAATCTATCCATCGTGTAGTCATCTGCTCATCAGGAGATAATCATTGTGTATAATCTATCTATTGGAGTTCTGGTTCTGGCTTGTCATCTGGAGATATATACTCCTTACCTACTAATATTCTGGTATGTGTGTGTGTGGATTCACCTCACCTGCAGTGTTCACTCTCACGTAACTGAACCTTTGAAACCCATCTCAAATTCAGCGTGACCCTGTCATAGTCTCGCTAGTGCATTCTTCCCATTCATCACCATCTCCATCAGAATGCATACCATAGGTATCTTGATAATGCATAGAGTACTGGGTTCGCACTCCCTTGCAATGGCCTGGAACTTTTGGGTTTTGTCAAAAGTTCTTGAATTTAGATTCTACCATGAAAAGGCCTTGCACTCCCTTGCAATGGCCTGGAACTTTTGGGTCTTGTCAAAAGTCCTTGAATTTAGATTCTACCTTGAAAAGGCTGTAACTGTCCGGAGCAATTCCCATCTCAAGTAAATCTGAAAACTGTTGATATTTTGGAAAATTTAACTCTTGAGTTATCTCCCTTCCAATGTCCTCCTGATTCAAAATCCATAATAAATTGTAGAGAAAGGCCCGAAGCAACACGTTAACATACAAATCACGATTTGTAATTTGAGTATTGTTAAAAGCTGTGAAACTCTGAACCCATTTTCTCCTCAATGTCCAATGCAAGGAACTGTGAAATTATTGGAATTGACACTGAGGTCCACCCCAGCATGTCACCCAGTGTATAGATAGTGGCTAGTTGCAGTCTCAAGCCTCATCTACAGTTGAGCCTCTCGTCCAAAATGGCCGCCTTCATCCGCTGTCTTCACGTCTGAGCTAACCATCACACTTCTGCTTGCATCACGCTCGGTTACTAACACTGACCATTATCATTATATAAGACGTTTTTCTTTGCACAAGCAGGCCTGATGGAGACCATGAAACAGGAGGACCCAGCAAACTGGTCGTTAAAACCAGAACAGTTTGCCGATTTAGCATCTTCTCTAAACAATTTCTTCAATCAATCACTGCTGCAGAGTCAAAACCAGTCAAGTAGTACCAGTGGAATATCAGGTAGGTTTGGGTTTGATTTGTGTTGGTAACTTTTAGTAACATCAGAGTTGCTTCCCTTGTTGTACCAGAATAAGGATAGGTTAGGATTCTAGATTCAACCTTAAGTGAAGCTAGGATTGTCAGCACCATGCCCATGCAAGACCACTTCCTGCTTTTCCCCACATCAGGGGCAGTGGGGTAGTCTAGTGGTTAAAGTGTTCGCTCGTCACACCTAAGACCCGGGTTTGTTAGCACCATCCCTATGCTTCTGGGTGGTAAATGTGCAAGACCTACACCCTTCAAGCTTCTTCCCACATAGGGGCCGTGGGGTAGCCCAGTGGGTAAAGCGGTCGCTCGTCACGTCAAAGATCCGGGTTTGATTCCCCACATGGGTACAATTTGTGAAGCCCATTTCTGCTGTGCCCGCCGTGATATTGCTGGAATTTTGCTAAATGCGGCGTAGTGCTATACTCACTCACCCTGTCTGTAGTTCTTTTCGTTCCTAAAGTGTTCAGAGGATTTCCCTTGTTCCCTTGAGTTTCTTGTCATTCTTATTGATGCTTGAACCACTTGTATTTTATGCTCAAACCATGGTTTTGAGGTAAGATCTATGTTGTGAATTGAAAATAGGATTGACACTCAAACCTGTGTATGGTTGCTAAGCAACTGTGGATAACACATCCCCCATCTGATATCTCCACTTATCCTCATCTGTCCTTGGGAGCTGGGCTTCGTTCCACAAAGCGATCGTAGCATTAAGATGATCTTACTCCCATACTTTAACATTGACTTGTGACTGTCGTAGCTCTACGATAGCCTTGTGGAATGGGCTCTGTCGTCCTCATGGAAGTTCTAAATGTTGTGTTGTCCTCTTTCAGGTCCTGGAAACGGCTTCTGTAACAGCAGTAACTCGGTGAGCAGCAGCCAGCTGAACATGGCCGACGGAGGGCCTCCGTCAGTAAGGGCACCCTTACACTTACCTTAAGAGAGAGAGAGCAGGATTTCATTTTACCAATTTTTGATGATATATTGTTTGTCCCAATTGCTGCCATATGTTGTTCTGTTTACATATGAAATAGGGAAATGGTTAAAAATCAACTTTTCTGAAACAGAAAACTCTATAAAAGAGAAAAAGTGCTGCAATCCTTTGACAGTATTTGATGATCAAGGTTTTGAATCCCAGGCCCTCTTAAGGTGCCCCTTCCTCTTACAGTGCCCCTTCCTCTTAAGGTGCCCCTTCCTCTTAAGGTGCCCCTTCCTCTTAAGGTGCCCCTTCCTCTTAAGGTGTCCATTCCTCTTCCTCTTAAGGTGCCCCTTCCTCTTAAGGTGTCCATTCCTCTTAAGGTGCCCCTTCCTCTTAAGGTGCCCATTCCTCTTAAGGTGCCCCTTCCTCTTAAGGTGTCCCTTCCTCTTAAGGTGTCCATTCCTCTTAAGGTGCCCCTTCCTCTTAAGGTGCCCATTCCTCTTAAGGTGCCCCTTCCTCTTAAGGTGCCCCAATCGTCTGTCAGGATCTATAGTCCTAGAATCGCTCTCATTATGGTCCTGGGTTTGTCAGCACTATACATTTCTACTCCTGGGTTTCCCGTGAAGATGTGGGTTAGTAAAGGTCTTCAGCAACACATGCTTGCCGTGAAAGGCAACTCTGCTTGTCATAAGATCCGACTAACGGGATCAGGTGGTCAGGCTCGCTGACTAGGTTGATGCATGTCATCGTATCCCAGTTGCATAGATCAATGCTCATGATATCAATCACTAGATTGTCTAGTCCAGACTTGATTATTCACAGACCGCCATCATATAGCTGGAATGTTGCTGAGTGCAAACAACAAACAAACAAAGAAACAAACAAACAAATCATGTACCAAAGTGGTGAATCACTTCCATTATTCCTCCACGTTAGGCTGTGATATGACTTAAGTAGTGTCCAGAGCGAATTTAAACCTTACTCACTCACTCACTCCCTCCCCTCAAATCTCTCAATCAAACACCAAACTTTCTCTGATGAGTATGTTGGTATGCCAGTATGCATACTCTAGGGGTCTGTACCAGGGCGGTTATTGGAGCTATTTTCACTATTGCGATTGTGTTGCAACAGTTGTCCACACGCTAACAGAAATGAATAAGGTATTGTGGACAACCTCCAAGTCTATATTCCTCCCTGCCACTACACAAACCAAAGGGAAGTAACTCTAATCTGAAGTTGTTCTAATCCTTGCTAACCAACACGGCAGGTTGAAATTTGCATAAAATATGTATTGAAAACTTATTGCAACTATTGAAACTATCGATTGTTATGTATACTATCGACGATGCTATTGGCGTCTGAAATTCCTATCGATATAGTACTATCATAGAGAAAGCAATTGCGATAGTTTGGTAGTTCGATATATTGTTGCACTTGTCTGTGTCCCAATGTTAAAAGTTTGGAGGATCCCTCGATTCGAGTGAAATTGGCGCAAAGCTCAGGGATCCCAGAAGCCACCTTAATTTTGAGTTATGATGATACTAATAACAAAATAATAACAATAACAAAGCCTACTCTGTTCCAGAATGCTTCAGAAAGCTACTCATCTTGTCAGACCGTGGTTTCACTGCCGTCCGGGACACAATATCACCATTCGGACGACATCGATGACGACTTCAACTGGGACAAGCTGCTGTAGTCGTGTTGCCATCACATCACATCACCTCATCCAATCAGAAGCCTCATTGAAGACCATGTGACAGTTCACATGCTGCTCACAGAGTTAAACCATTTGTTGATATTCATATATACTGCTTATACAAGGAGAGGAGGGTTGGACATAGGGCGTGTTGCCTTGTGGTAGGACTATATGGTGCAATGTGCTTTGTAAATATTCTGTTGATTGTAAATAACATATATATATTCAATTGTTATTGTCTTCTGTTAACCCAGCAAAGATCTTCTATTTCCCTTGTTTTGAAATAGTTCATAGTTTTGCGTTTAGCATTTCAACGTAATGACAAGAAAAAGTCTGTTTGGAGGTATTGTAAGTTTTGAAATGCGAAGTTTGTACGTTTTGTGCATGGAATCAAACTCCATTTTTGTGTTACATATGGATTCAGACTATTTTGGAAACAAAAACTGTGACAGTTTCCATATTGTACGGAGCTACTACCCCGACCTCTGCCTGGTTAAATCTTCGACTCCAGGGTGGTCGGGTTGTTGAGGTGGTAGTTCTTCATGACCAAGTCCTGGGTTTGATTCCCCACATGGGTACAATGGGACCAGCCTATTCAGGGGTAGACAGGGATACTGCTGGAACAGTCCTGAAACTTGCGTCAACACAATCTTACACTCTTACTTTCCATGGGTTTTTTATTTATTTTTCCATTGTTAGCAATGATAGTTGGACATTGTTGTAACTATTTTTCTCCTCCAGTGTTTATATCGAGTCCAACAACACGACGCCAGTCCTATGTTCTGCCTCTTCTCTCCTCGGGTTGTAGGGTTCCTTTGTGTGTCAACCTCGGTCACAGTGTGTGTAGATGCAAGGAGAACCAGGGATGCCAGAGTTAGATGTTAGCCCCCATCAGGGCTACTGTACTAGATAGCTTGGCCCCAACTGTGGATATGTAGCTAATTCTGGTATTTTGTAAAAAGTGTGTAGTGGAGCTTATGTATTGTAAATTGAATTGTGATGGTTTTATTCTGATCGTGTGTGGAAAGTTCGAGTTTGTGAAACTAACTAAGGAAATTCTGTACATTTTATCTAAAATATTCATCGAGATATTCATTGAGATAGGTATGCCATTCTTCAACTCAGAATCTTCTATGCACGAATAGAGAGATTTTGTCATTGCATTCTCGGATGTGACTTGAAACGTGTAGCATAGTGCAGTAGTCAGTTTTTGAAAGAAAAAATATTACAGCTGAAGACGAATGCTGTCATAACTTGTGTTACGATAAACCATTGAATGATCTCACTACGGTAACCATAATGGTCACCTGGAGTTTTTAAATACAGGCTTTGACAGTTTAGGCCGCAACAACTTGATATTAGTTTGTACCTAGAATCTCCAACATTGTTTACATTTTGTTCAAAGAGGAGCACACAAGTCATTTTGTCTATTAAATTACATGACAGAATGCATTCTGCTGTCCAAGGTTTTTCAATCTGGCTGCTCTGTGTCCCCTCTCTGTCGATTCCTGCAGTGTGTCACGTCTTGCATGATGAGAACAAGAGGTTTTCATGAACTGCCAGAACTGGGACCCCAAAACATTTAACAAACAAAAAAATCAATGTTTTGGCTTTTTTGTAACAAGCAGTACCATTTGAAGATGCTCATGGAATTATAGAAACATGTAATATAACATCGAAACATTAATTGTCGTGATATTATTGGATGAAATAGGTCATATCTTGTAGGAGACTGGTGACTGTTTGTAAGTTAGTATTTGAGAATTAAATATTGCCACTTCGGAATGAAAAATGGATGTTTCGTAGCAAGAACAAAATTCTACTGTATATTATGTTGCAGTGATTTTGAACATCAGGTCATTTGTTTCAAGTCCATTTCTTATCTTGTGTCAGCAGACGTCACTTGTGTCGTGTCAATTTCACTCCCACACACTCACGTCATGTCAAATTCAATCCAACTCACTGTGTTAGGGCAATTTCATACCAACATCACTTGTATCAGATCAATTTCATATAAGCTCACTTGTATCAGGTCAATTTCATGCATGCTCACTTGTGTCAGGTCAATTTCATACAAGCTCACTTGTATCAGATCAATTTCATGCAAGCTCACTTGTATCAGATCAATTTCATGCAAGCTCACTTGTGTCAGATCAATTTCATGCAAGCTCACTTGTATCAGATCAATTTCATGCAAGCTCACTTGTATCGAGAATTTCATACAAGCTCACTTGTATCAGGTCAATTTCATGCAAGCTCACTTGTGTCAGGTCAAATCTTAGAGTGTCGATGACAGCTGGCAATCTGATCTTGCATGAATGGACATGACAAGTCAGGTTGGGAATGTACATTTTTATTGAATCCTATATTTGTTTTTATTTATTTCCTAGACGACATTCTGCCGAGAATGAAAATGCTCCATACATTGCTTTTGCCCAGATTGAGTTTATTTTCAATATTGTATATACAATATGACAAGGAATAGGCCTGATTGTTCCTGAGATTGATTATTGTATATATTTCTTGTTTCTTTAGTGTGTTTTGGCTCCGATGGAAAACCTGTTTCAGAACATCAAGTATTAAGAGATGCTTGGATGATGATTTTTAATAATATTAAACAATGTCTGTTTATTAACCTGAAGATTGTTTGCATAGACCATGTATATGTGTTAGTGTTCTTGTAACTTGGCATGAAAGGTTTCATGTTCATTTTAATTTTAATCTTTTTGTTATACTACATCATTAATAACAGGCAAATGTGTCCTTTTTATCCTATATGATCACCCGGGTTCGATTCCCGACATGGGTACAACGTGTGAAGCCCATTTCTGGTGATCCCTGCCATTCTTAATTATTTTCATGTTGATAAAGCTGCGGTCGGGTAGCCTAGTGGTTTAAGCGGTTGCTTGTCACACCGAAGAACCGGGTTCGATTCCCGACATGGGTACAATGTGTGAAGCCCATTTCTGGTGTCCCCTGCCATTCTTAATTATTTTCATGTTGATAAAGCTACGGTCGGGTAGCCTAGTGGTTAAAGCGGTTGCTCGTCACACCGAAGAACCGGGTTCGATTCCCGACATGGGTACAATGTGTGAAGCCCATTTCTGGTGTCCCCTGCCATTCTTAATTATTTTCATGTTGATAAAGCTGCGGTCGGGTAGCCTAGTGGTTAAAGCGGTTGCTCGTCACACCGAAGAACCGGGTTCGATTCCCGACATGGGTACAATGTGTGAAGCCCATTTCTGGTGTCCCCTGCCATTCTTAATTATTTTCATGTTGATAAAGCTGCGGTCGGGTAGCCTAGTGGTTAAAGCGGTTGCTCGTCACACCGAAGAACCGGGTTCGATTCCCGACATGGGTACAATGTGTGAAGCCCATTTCTGGTGACCCCTGCCATTCTTAATTATTTTCATGTTGATAAAGCTGCGGTCGGGTAGCCTAGTGGTTAAAGCGGTTGCTCGTCACACCGAAGAACCGGGTTCGATTCCCGACATGGGTACAATGTGTGAAGCCCATTTCTGGTGACCCCTGCCATTCTTAATTATTTTCATGTTGATAAAGCTGCGGTCGGGTAGCCTAGTGGTTAAAGCGGTTGCTCGTCACACCGAAGAACCGGGTTCGATTCCCGACATGGGTACAATGTGTGAAGCCCATTTCTGGTGACCCCTGCCATTCTTAATTATTTTCATGTTGATAAAGCTGCGGTCGGGTAGCCTAGTGGTTGAAGCGGTTGCTCGTCACACCGAAGAACCGGGTTCGATTCCCGACATGGGTACAATGTGTGAAGCCCATTTCTGGTGACCCCTGCCATTCTTAATTATTTTCATGTTGATAAAGCTGCGGTCGGGTAGCCTAGTGGTTAAAGCGGTTGCTCGTCACACCGAAGAACCGGGTTCGATTCCCGACATGGGTACAATGTGTGAAGCCCATTTCTGGTGACCCCTGCCATTCTTAATTATTTTCATGTTGATAAAGCTGCGGTCGGGTAGCCTAGTGGTTAAAGCGGTTGCTCGTCACACCGAAGAACCGGGTTCGATTCCCGACATGGGTACAATGTGTGAAGCCCATTTCTGGTGACCCCTGCCATTCTTAATTATTTTCATGTTGATAAAGCTGCGGTCGGGTAGCCTAGTGGTTAAAGCGGTTGCTCGTCACACCGAAGAACCGGGTTCGATTCCCGACATGGGTACAATGTGTGAAGCCCATTTCTGGTGACCCCTGCCATTCTTAATTATTTTCATGTTTATAAAGCTGCGGTCGGGTAGCCTAGTGGTTAAAGCGGTTGCTCGTCACACCGAAGAACCGGGTTCGATTCCCGACATGGGTACAATGTGTGAAGCCCATTTCTGGTGATCCCTGCCATTCTTAATTATTTTCATGTTTATAAAGCTGCGGTCGGGTAGCCTAGTGGTTAAAGCGGTTGCTCGTCACACCGAAGAACCGGGTTCGATTCCCGACATGGGTACAATGTGTGAAGCCCATTTCTGGTGATCCCTGCCATTCTTAATTATTTTCATGTTTATAAAGCTGCGGTCGGGTAGCCTAGTGGTTTAAGCGGTTGCTCGTCACACTGAAGAACCGGGTTTGATTCCTGACATGGGTACAATGTGTGAAGCCCATTTCTGGTGACCCCTGCCATTCTTAATTATTTTCATGTTTATAAGGGGGCTTTCGGGGAGCCTAGTGGTTAAAGTAGTGGCTCGTCAAGCCGAAGAACCGGGTTCGATTCCCGACATGGGTACAATGTGTGAAGCCTATTTCTGGTGATCCCTGCCATTCTTAATTATTTTCATGTTTATAAAGCTGCGGTCGGGTAGCCTAGTGGTTAAAGCGGTTGCTCGTCACACCGAAGAACCGGGTTCGATTCCCGACATGGGTACAATGTGTGAAGCCCATTTCTGGTGATCCCTGCCATTCTTAATTATTTTCATGTTTATAAAGCTGCGGTCGGGTAGCCTAGTGGTTAAAGTGGTTGCTCGTCACACCGAAGAACCGGGTTCGATTCCCGACATGGGTACAATGTGTGAAGCCCATTTCTGGTGACCCCTGCCATTCTTAATTATTTTCATGTTTATGAGGGGGCGGTCGGGTAGCCTAGTGGTTAAAGTGTTAGCTCGTCAAGCCGAAGACCCGGGTTTGATTCCTGACATGGGTACAATGTGTGAAGCCCATTTCTGGTGCCCCTGCCGTCATATTGCTGGAATATTGCAGAAAGCGGCATAAAACCGTACTCACTCACACAAGTTTATACAAAATGTGAAATTTATAGATACAGAATCCTTTCATAATTGTTGAACCAAATCTGAAATGGTTCTTCGTGGGATATACATGTACTTCTCCAGATGCTCCCACGTTGTGTGGAGATCTGATCCACAACAGACTTGCATAATCAAAATTGTTCAGTGTCCCTGTGTCGTCAGTGTTGGTGATGCTGCGAGCATCGCCAACTGTGTTGAATGTTGTTGATGATGCACGCATCGCTCACTGTGTTGAATGTTGTTGATGATGCGTGCATCGCCCAATGTGTTGAATGTTGTTAATGACAAGAAACCTAACCTACTGTGTACCACTATGTGAAACAAGTCACACTGAGGTCATTAAGTGGATATTCCGTTGTATGGAATGAGAGAAATCCTGTGTCAAACAATAGTTACTGATCTTTACTTTGTGTCCATTATCATGGTAATCCATTGATAATTATCATCTTTGTGCTTCATGTTCATGATGCTTGCATGATCCAGAAAAACTGGAACTCTGGATTCATTGTTTGAGTAACTGAATTGTCCTTTATAGTTTTGAGTTTAGATAAGATAGGTGCTTAGGAACATGCTAGGTGAAGGTGACAGTGGCATATGTCTTACCATGACAAGTGTCAAGTGTCGTGTATGTTCTGGGTGTGTTAATGTGGTCCCAGTATGGAGATGTGTGTTGTCTCAACAATATATTGTAGTTCCATCGGGCAGTGAACACCTTCGTGTGTCTCCTTCGTCTTATGACTTGGTACATTAGACAAATACATCTTCAGGTCACTTAGAAAGATGACTGGAAAGTAATTATTATTTCAGGTCCCAGAAAGGATATTTTATGTTAATAATGTTTTACTCTAAATTTACCAAAGATGATAATCTGACTCACTGTATGTTAAGCTAGGGTGACAAGCAAACAGTCAAACAGTCGTGTTGACGGCGATGTCATGGATGAAATTATTAAATGTATCAATAGTTTTTCTGACTTTTCAATCTATAATTTTGTCTTTGTGAACAGAATGTATTTGGCCTAATAAGTGCCCCACTTCATAAGCACCTAATACTTGATAAATGTCTCATTATTTTTTCGAACTACAGTATCATAGGAACACTAACATACAATTGACAAGCTTCAATGGATATTTACTACAGAGATACATGACATCAAACATTTGGACTCATTTTCCGACGTATAACTGTTTAAGTAATACTTGCAGTTTTTAGATATAATGTCTGATTAATTGAAAGTACTTCCAGGTCAGAATAGGTCCCCAGTACCCTTGCTTGTCTCTTGGCTGAGTGTGTGTCACTGGGCTCTGACAGGATGGATGCTGGTGCCTTCTACCACGGCCCACACTTGGTTGTCTCCAGGCCACCATGGAGGAGCTGATAGTGCTGATTGTGTCGTAAAACAACATTCACTCAGCCCCCCCCCCCCCCCCTCATTCATGATGATGATGATGATACTTATACATGCTCCAGTCCTGCAGAAATGAAAGAGATAGTACTACATGTGTGATTGTGGACTTTCGCTGAGGCGCTGCAGTAACTGTCTACAAATAATCCTATGAAACAAGTAACTCACCAGTATGAGAGGGGTGGTTGGGTAGCCTAGTGGATAAAGTGCTTGCTCATCAGGCCAAAGACCTGGGTTTGATTTTCCACTTTGATTCAATGTGTGTCCATTTCTGGCGTCAGCTGGCAGAGGTATGGCAGGAATATTGCTGAAAGTCGCCTCGTTTCACTCTCAGCCCTCCTGTTATCATGTGAACCAGGGCGCTTATTTGGCCAAATACGGTAAATAGAACTTGAACTTTAGCCTTGTTTATGTGAGTGTTTGGTGCATACTGCTGTCAGAGCCTCCCAGTGATCAGCATTCCCTCTCTGTTTTACATGTGATATCATGCTAACCGTCCATAACTAGCACACCAGATCATCACCAGAAATTAACGCGGTGATCTTTGAATCCAGTCGAACTCTCAGTTGAACTCTTGATTATATCAGTGTTCAAGTTGGCTTTTGCATCCACATATAATATTATTTTTCTGTTTATTTGAAATTTGCAGGCTGTTTCTATGGAATGTAGTTCCAACTGCTTATTGGTCAAAGGGAGGTAACTCCTCGGTTTAGTTACTACCCCTTTGTGCCATAAAATCTTTGGTAAATCATTTGTTTGCTGTAACAGTTCATTCACACAAATATATGTGTTTTTAAGTAAATATTGTCACAGCACACCTTGTGTTGGCCGTCGTCTGCATCATGCTATTTCCGCTAGCCATCACTTTTGCTATTATTTATCATTAGCCATTACAGATGCGATACATTCCGTTAAATAGTTCAATTATCTAACAGACTATATTTTCTTAGTTTACAGCAATCATTAAGTGTTTGAAGTAAGCCATTGATTATAGGGTTGATGGTACAGATTGATATTAAACAGATTGTAATGTGGTATGGAAGGTAGTATTTAGGTTTGATTGTGATCGTACTACTTCCCTGACCACATTACATCACCTCAACTTACCTCCAGCTGATCATCAAGTCAAGGCCCTTCATACAGTTGGTGATAACGGACATATTTGACACTTTGTTTCCAGGACAAAGACTGAAATCTTTAAAAGCACCAACATTAGTTTTGTT